GGATTGCATGGAAATAATTCTTGTAGATGAATTGCCATAAAGGCGTTAGGTGTTAAATCAGAGCCCTAAGGAACATGTTTCTTTGGGACTTTATCTTTTATATTTCTGAAAAGTCTTTATCTTTCGGAGCAGATGAATGGTACGGTAATGTAGTCTTAGTATTTTGCTTACTTTTGGCGATATTTCGTATCTAGACAACTTGAAAACCTTGTCTGGGCTTCTGTCAAGTACTGCACTGCATTTGGAAACCCGCCGGGTTTTTTGCAGCAGTTCTGGCGATTTGGCCCCCGTAGTTTCGAATGTCTGTCGTCTCCTTCTGATAAGCAACTCTTCTTGCGATACGATGTTGTTGCCCTTATGAGCCAAACATAACGCTTCTGATCAATAACTACTCGACGTTCCCTTGTCCGTCTACGTACGTGAGATTTCTCTGTTTTTATGAGGTGATTTATATTGCAGATTTTCTATTATTGAACAGATGATATCTATTAGGAATTGAAAGTGCGTTGAAGCTTCCGGGCTTCTTTTTTAATTAGGAAAGGAGAGGCTTTATCACTCTTCAAGAATTATCTTTACATCAAAGCCGCATCAAAGTCTTTTTTCAACCATAATGCAGGTGTCAAAAGGTGCTTCTTGAGTAATACACCTAAAGAGCTTGGCTCCGGCAGACACAAAGTTTTGGTGATTCGAAAGCATTCGTGGTCTCGCTCATTCTTTTTTCTTAAACAGTGCCTGTACCACCTGTGCGTCTGTTGATCGTCAAGGTCCTCGAGTGGGCTTAGCAACGTCTCCCAGCTTAATTTATCACCTTCACGTGTCAGAATACTCTTTAGAGTTTCTTCTCTCCAGAGACGCTTAACTGTTCATTACTTCCTTGCAAAGCTTCTGTGGTTAGGTGGGGGAAGGAGATTTTGGCTGTCAGATCTTTCCAGCATTGTTTGACGTCCCGAGGGATCCAGTCGGTAACCGCTCTGGTCCAACGGTCATCGCAAAATCGCATGACGTGTCCGGCCCACCTTATCTTCGATTCCTTGGCGAAAACGGCAGCGTCCCTGATCTTCGATCGTTGGCGTAGTTGAACTCGGATTCCTCCCGCATTTCCGTGTATCGGAAAATTCCAAACATATTCCATTTCTCGGTGCAGTGGCCTTACGTCATGCTTGTTTTGCGCGCGCAGAGTCCAGCTTGCTGAGGCTTTCAGGCAGGGGGGATTGGAGGCGCGGAGTCGGAGGTTCTTCGTCTTTAATTGGTATTTATTACATGAGCAAGTGCACCTATGCGAAACATAAGGCAGAAAACATTGAAAAAAGCGCCAAAGGACAAGAATTCATCAAGATATCAAGAATTAGTAAGGAAAAAGCCCACCAATGCACACAGTGGAAAGACAATTGAACGAAAAAAAATGAAAAAAAATACAACTAAACGGAGATAGGACCAACACAACAAACGAGAAGATAAACAACCGAATCCGCCTACAATCAAGTGATCACTTGCCGCGGATTGATCCTTCAACTAGGCATGCCCCCATTTCAGGCGCTTAATTATTTTATTGAATGCGGAACCTGCACAATAGCAAAAGAAATGAATTCTTAGGCTCGAGTTAGGCCTAGCAATGAAAATTTGTTTCAAATGAGTATGCCAGGTTTAGTCTTTCACTCACTTAAATTCTTTTCTTTCTCGCTCCCTTTAAAGTTTTGAGCCTGAGAAAGCAATCGCCATGTTGACTCAGGATCAAGGTAACGCAAGATCTAGCAGCTTTTTCCTCAAGAAGGTGAGCGCCACCATTTGGGGCTATGATGCCCGGGTCGGGTGTTTTGAACCATGATTACGCCACTCTCACGAATCGATAGCTGCCAGTCAGTTTGCTTATTTTTCTTCGGATATTTTATTGCGCAATATTGTTTGGTCGAGCCTGTCAACGACAAATTTATTTATGCTACTTCGTCAGTATCCGTGAGAGCTTGCTCTTATCGTGGTACAGCCCGTCATCGCCCAAAATAACATGTGACGCGTTAGTGGACGGGAAATAGAAGTGCGAAAGAATCCAAGGATCAGAGCTGTGAATTTCCTGGATTGTAGACCTATTCGAAACGTTCAGAGGCACGCAATCATCAGGGCAAGTATGATGTTGGGAGATTCGTCCTCAAAACCGGAGATAGAGAATCGTATTGGATATTTCGCTTGTTTTGGTTCACACTCACCTCCGTAATTCCTATTGCCCGGATCCTATATTGATTTCTTTTTTTTTCGATAACTCGATAGTGAACTCATGGAATGGGCTGGAAATATCAAATATAGTGTATTCATACACTGTCGAATTTGAGTCACATTCTGATTTAAAGATTGTCCAATTAAGGGTTTCTTGTTTTTGTTTGTTAACTGCTGTTTTGGCCGCAGTTCGCCTTGCGAATGTTTCACAAGAATGCTGGGTTGTGAACAAAACTTTCGCCCCAGGCGGGACTAGAACCCGCACCTCTCGCTTTCCGGGCAAGTGCGCTACCAGTTACGCTACCGGGGCACCATTTCATTCCAACTCAGCTTTTCATGGTATACTTACCATAGCTTGTCAGCACTCACACGTATAACGTGTTGAGCCGATATAGGCAATGCACTTGCCCGGAAAGCGAGAGGTGCGGGTTCTAGTCCCGCCTGGGGCGAAAGTTTTGTTCACAACCCAGCATTCTTGTGAAACATTCGCAAGGCGAACTGCGGCCAAAACAGCAGTTAACAAACAAAAACAAGTCAAAATTCGTTGCTGAAGCTTTCACTCGTTGCCTTCTCCGCAGGCGTGAATTCACCTTTTCGACATTCTACGAACAAGCAGTAATCAAATAGTGATAGAATTTTGAGTGGAGAGGTTTTTTTGTGCAGTGAAAAGCATCAAGCAATATCGTGAATGTTGACTGTGCTGGCTGTCTTCGATTCGCGATATAGGGTGTCGGCGTGTTCCTTTCAATATCTATGATGCATGATCATGTGTTATGGATACGCTTCGATTCCAATTTTTTCGAACTTTTAAAGATTATGTCGGTCATTCTTGATGTGGATTGCTAGAGGTACAGAAGAAGTCTTGCAGTACGTGAGGTCAGGGCAGAATTGATTGATGTACGTGGCTGCATTTCTTTCTTCGTTGCAAAAGGCGGGTGTGCCGTTTTGTGCGCAGGAATCTAGTTTGTGAGTTACGCAAGGTTATGAAACAGTTTCATTGATGGAAAAGGAGGATTTCAACACAATGTGTGGCACTTTTTTTAAACTTTTTGTTTTGAAGAATACTAAATGTTTTATGCATTTTGGAGGCTCTTGTCTTGGTTTTTAACTCATTTGTCCTTTTTTAGCGAAAAGATGCATCAGGACTTGGAGACGTCCACGGTGTTAGGCGAGAATGAGGTGACGTGCTTTCTGACTCGGCGCTGAGTCGCCAGTGCTTAGCAAAGATCGACGTCGGTTCATTATCATCTCTATTTTTGATGCGACTCTTACAACGTTGCTTTGGCTGCTTTGCACGGTATGTGAAGCTGTTCACATTGCGATTTCTATTTTTACGTTTGGTATTCAATTTTTGATACCAAATGTTTTGTTCCGGCGGAAGTAGTTTCCTTCACTGATTATGTGTCGGGAGTCAAATTTTCGAACTTTGTGTGTTGTTAAGATGTGGAGTTTAAGTTATGCCGCGTGTAAAAAGAGGCGCTATTTTGTGGGATCATAAGGGATTGTTCATATCAAGCAATGTCCTTTTTAGTTAGGTTATGGCTTTTTCCAAGTTACTTTGACTATAAGATGAGCTCAGAAACTTAAATTTGGCAGGAATGTGTGGGATTAATTATACCGATTTGAAAGAATGTTATCTTACCATGCAATATTGCGAGGTGAATCGCTGAGAATTGCGTTTTACTGCGAAGTGAATCGGGACCCTATCCGTCGACTGTCACGTTCCACATTGGTGGTATGCTGTTGCTGACCTTAAACTGTGACTTATGCCTCAAGGGGACAGACCTATCGTGCAAACCTAGCTCTTCGAATTCCTCAAGTTGTTGGAACACTTGAGGATAGTTTATTGAAATGTCGGTTTTTGGTTTCATTCATCTGTAGCCCGTAGATTTGGTGCATAACTTAAAATGTTTGCGCTCAGATGGTTGATGTCCCGTCTGCCCTTACTCGATGCTTCAGTGAATCCTCCACTCTCCCCCCCCCTTCGGGTTTTCCTGCTTGAATCTTCCATCTCCCATCGCCCAGCTACCGGTGCTGTACATCGAAATATTTCCTTATTTCCTCTTGAGTTAAGAGACTTTCTTATCTCTTTGACAGTGTCCGCTGCCTTGCTTCAGTGACCACTGGTGCTAAGATTCGGCTTCTCCCAGGGCCTTCTCGGCTTTAGTGTGGGAGTTTCCGCGCATTGCTACTCTCAAATGGCAGTACTTAACTATTCTGTACATGTCCCAGGATCAGAGTTGCGACACAAATGGACGAGTTTCCATGTCCCTTCTTTGAGAATAACTAGTGAACAACAACGAAAAAGGACACTATGAAAAAGTGCAAGAGAGGAAGAGAGGAAGTTAGATTTTGTTGAAGAACTTTGAATTCTATACAAGTGGTTGACGGTTATGTAACTGTCTTCTTTGTGATAACTGTTTTCTAGGTGACTAAAGGAGATGATTGGCCGACAGTATTTCTTCAAGAAATTAATCTATTCGATGCTCATTTCATGAGCATATCATTGTTTGATATAGTCCTTTGCGCACTTGTACGAATGGTAAGCTCAAATCATTTGCCTAGGTTTTTTGCAATAAAATGTCAGTTTTGACGATCTGGTATTTAGTGTGACATTTAGGTTGTGCTCATTCTGTGTTATGCTGTTTTTGTAGTCCGACATTGGTTGCCAGTAGCAATCACGACGTCCCTCTCCACCGTGTACATAGTAATTAAGGTAATTTGTGACTCATATTTATGAATTCTTGCCATAGTATGAATTTTCAGTTCAATCAAATAGTTCCTTCAGGTTCTTTTCTTTTTCTCACATAAACAAGGAGGCCTTCCGCAATATCTATTAGTGCTAGCTTCTTTTTCTATAGCGTGGTTTGAGTTATGGCTGATGCCTTTCAAGGTTTTGCCAGGCGAGCGCCGATGTGAGTTTTATGCACTCTTGGTCGATAGCGTTAGTGAGGTTCTGAGAGTGTAGTGAAGCGCTATCGTGTAATTGAATGTCATTTGCAGGCGAGCATAGCGAGTCCTATACGAATCATGATAATTTGTCCGTTTCGGTGCGCGGCAGCTCCTTCAGAGGGCAACCACGAATGAACAACGTTGCTCCTTCGCATTATATCTCAGATGATGAAGTTCCGCAGTGCTATGGAGTTTTCGTCAGGTAAGCTTCTGTAATTAAAATATTGGCAATCTTTTTTTTCGAATGATCTTTCATTCCAAGAAAACGTTTTAGATGATGAGGCGTTTCACGGCTTGAGCAATCGGCCGCTTCGAGTGCGTGGTGGTCAAATCCCTATAGAGACAAGGGAGAAGTATGAGAAGGTGAGTTGTTACGAAGGATGGTTCAGGAAGTGATCAATCAACGGTCTGGCTTCAGGCTTTGAATGATGCGTCGGAGAAGGTTGAATATTCTTTACGTCAAGCACGAATGGGAGAATGGAAGGTACTGAAGGTTAAGGAACCAATGGTGAGCTTTGCTAATTCACTCATTCTAATATTTTCGTTACGTGTAACCAGTGGTAAAAAGCTTACTTATGTATCCATCGTGGTTATGTGGTTAACCTCCTCATTGTCAAGTAAGCTGTTTTAGGTACTGCAAGCGCCCGACTTGTCGTACTTCATTCGATCGGACTTCTCCTGCTCACCGCAAGTGTTGTTCGACGCCGCTTGGAGAGATGTACTTAGGTGGAATACACAACTTGTTGAAGCAAGGGTAAGTTCAGCTCGAGTTGAGTGAAAATGAGCCTCAAAATAGGGCTTGCTTTCTTCGTAAAGTGCCGTTACATTTTTCTTGCAGATAATTGCCACTATTGATCGGTACTGAATTTGTATATTCAATGAGTGCACCTGCATTGAAGGGTTATGTTTTCCGTCACGGCTGAGTTGCTATCCTGGAGTGCTGAAAACTAGATCTCTGATTTTCCCAGTTTTAAAACCCATTTTTAGTGACTTCGTTGATATACGTCGAGTACACTTCGATTCGGTCATACAAACGTATACTGGCATATTCGTTTCCGTCGAGTCTCAAGCTTGTCCAGTACATGCGAACAAGAAAATCGTCAGGTCGGTTATCCTTATCATTATTCTTTTCTCGATTTCTTTTTCGTATTCTTCAGGTTTCTTTGTTCCTCCTAAGGTGTTTTAATTTCGGCTGGTTACATTTGTGAAATAGTCGTGTCTGCATAGACGTAGATATCGCTAATGAAATTCTCAAACCGTCGGCTAACTCGTCCCTGTCCCGCCCTACTGCTTTTTTCTAATTCGTGCCACCAGTTCACCAATCTTGGGATGCAGTCGTGCCGGGTTCGTGTCAGAAAAAGTCTCAACACCTTTCCCCAATCACCAGTTCCTTCAAAATTGCTGCATGGAAAAACACCGTAATTGGACCGAGTAACATCTGGACTTGGCAAATATTACAAAGCGTTCAAGAAAATATCTCCACAGGTTCTTGGTCGTCGACCCGGATATCCTGCCTATAGGCCATATCGTTTGGTGCAGGGAGATCTAGCATGAGAACCAGGCATATGAGATAATTCTATTCCAACTGATACAATCTCGCAGAATTTCCCCAACAGTCTAGTATAAGTAACAGCTTGGCTGGTCCAACCACTTCTCACGTTCCTCTTCCCTCCAATCCATCCTCGATTTCATTTCGCGTTTGGGAACTATGTTTGATATGTGATCCTCACCCTTGGTTCACGCAGAATTCATTCATATTCGGGCCACTAATGAAAAAAGCTTCATTGAAAGGGTTGTAACGTGAATTCTGTTAGGAAAAGTCACTGTTTGCGCTGTGACATCACCCGTGACAATGCGAGCGCATGACACTCCTATGGTCGTGCATAGCCGTGATTCCGCACGCAGCTGATGCCCAGTCTCATAGAACTCTGGCCCTGCATCGCTAATTCCCTTTTCTTATTTACCATCACAAATTCAGGGGAAGTCAGTAGCAATACCCAGCAATGCCACTTCTGCACTTTTTTGGATCAAATCCCGCCTGAGCGAGTCACTCTCCTTCTCAATGTCACCTCCCGTCCCAGATGTGCTTGAAGGAGGATTGCACGATAAAACCTCCTTGAAAATGGGTCCGTCAAATGTTTCCATTGTTTTAAGCAGGAGATGAACGCACGGCGCATGCTGAATGGATGAACTTACATAATGTATCATCCCTTAACTTTTTAGTAGCCAATAGTCTATTTTGCATTTGCAGGGGATCGAATGGACCAAGCTGTATACGCGCAATTGGCGATGCCACGTCCGGAAGATCTTACTTGGAATGGATAATGCGTACTGATCTAAAGGGCGGTCTTCCAAAGCGTTTGGTGCAGTCAACCATGCTCACATACTTTATTGATCATGTTAATCGTTTACGCGAATATATCGACAGGCAGTCGGTAATCCCTGTGACTAGCTGAGCTGCTGTATATTCGGTTACTGCTCTGTTTTATTTTGACTTTGGAGCAGGTGGATGTCAACGTGACTGTCGCCAAGGCAGGGATTTAATGCACCCCACTGGTTCGCTTAATACTGTAAGTATCTTGTGATAGAAGCATTCGACATTGAAATCCAATTGTAGGCACTTTCCTCGAGTCCATTTTTGTGCCTCATTCTCGTTTTTGCCCTCCCAACATTTTATCATTCATGTAACATATTTGTCTAATATTGACTAACATTTTGGAAGAGTTATGGTTACCTCCTGCTTTTTACGAGCCGCTTTTCGATTCGTTCATATCAATCCTTCGAGGGTTTTCTTTTTTTTGTGTTGCAGTGCCTGCACTTACATATATGCAAAGCATACGCTGCCAAATATCAGGTAGAAGGCGGTGTTACTATCAGTTTAAACTAGGCTGCTGTTCGAGGAAAATTTCTAGCTACTCTAATAATCGGGTTGAAGGTGGAATTCGTGAAGTCCGTTTCACAAGTTGATTAATAATCTATTTTGAATGAATGAATGCCATTCGGTTGTTTGTGTATCTTCGAATGCAACAGGCCATATAGTCATTGATCTTTGTATTATTTGTAGGCAATGTTCGCCAAGCTCCGTTGTGATGTTGAAATGTACTGCATATGTTGTATAAGTTTTATTATATACAGTAAAAATGTGTGACACTTCTTCATGATAGTTTTCAAAGCTTCTGAGTTGCTTGTTTCCTTTTTCGACAATTATTGAAGAGGATGAATGCGATTCAAATGAAATAGATAGCCTTGTTAGGTGAGCAGCTGGTGCGAGACGCGTGCGGTTGCGCAGCGGTAGTGAGTCCACTGGTTGTGAGTTGGGGTTTTTTGAGGTCATGTCACGGATGCGGCTTCTTTAGGCGGTGACACATTTCTTCCTGGTTGTTGTATAGGACCACACGTCCATTCGCTACCCAACTTAAGAGGACGCCTCATCTTAGGGTTCCTTGCCATACTGTTTTCAACAAGTATGGACCCGCTCCTCTCGGCATCACGGTTTTCTAGACCAGGGAAGGCGGTTTTGGGCGCGGAGCGGTAACCGCGCGCGGGCCGGTGGTCAGTGCTCCCAAGTTGACATGTACGTTTCGGACAGAGAAGCGAAAAGAATCAGGTATGCAATGATCGGAAGAATTGGCGAGTGGCTTTCGCGACTCTCTGATTCGGCCGAAACGTCGAAAGAGTGGAGTTAACAAAATCAGTACATATCTAATCACTTTTAGCCGTTCGGGTTGACGTGTGACAACGGTTCAGTTCGCTTCACCGTTGCGCCCTGAATAACCACCATTGGGCGCGGCTTAGTACGATTCCAACCACTTAATCTTAGCCCACGTCCTTCTCATCGTTGAGAGGGCCGATAGGGCGTTCAGCTGGAATATTGTACGAATGATCATAAGAAGAGGGGAAATCAAAGCGTGTCCGTGGTAATCATACGCATTGAATTTTCAGCTGAATCTCCATTTCATGAACCCTATCCTCGTCGCAATGGATTTAGTTTGTTCGAAGGAGGTTAATTTTGGCCATTAAATCATGCAGCCATTGCACTGTTGCGGTTTAGTCAGCGCAGTGGATCGGTACTTAGGGGGAGGCGGTGGGGCAGTGCCGCACGAGAACCTGGCATGTTCACTTACTTTGGTGTGGAGCGGGGATTCCGTGAGCCAGGGGGAGTGTAGCCAGTCTAGGGGGTGGGGAGTGAGGGCAGTCACTTGACTTGCGTGAAAAGTTGAAATGTTCGAGTTCCCACTATGTAATCGTGGGACTGCCCTTTCCCCCCCCACCCCAGCCTCTCCCTCTCCCTTTCAAGCACTTGTGTGAATGTGATCATTAGTCAGCCATTTTATAAGAACGCCTCGCGTTCAATTTCTATTTAGAATCGTGATTTTCATTTGCTCATGTATCTAGCAAATGCAATGGCACTTTCAGAAATATCAGAATATTTGCGAGTCTTAGTAATTTACGGGGGGCCCGGGAAATATTCCAATGACAGTCTGATGGCGTGGCCCCAATGAGGCTACTGTTGTGACAAGAGCACCGCGAGGCCGATGTCCGACTGCGGGAGTTCTTTTTTTCGATTTTGCTAGCGCCTGCGGTCACGTCGCGGTCAGTGAATCACTCAATTGGCTGGTACCGCAGCGCGACTGCGGACGCTAGCGAATCGCGCGATTCGCAAAGTCTGACATCGGCCTGATCTCAATTCGGTGTAGGTAGCACCAGGCCGCGTGTGACTCACTAAGACGAGACTTTTCGGTGTCTGCAGTGAGTGGACCCCATTTGAGCCGGGAACCTTGGGTTTGCGCAATCATCGGTGGAACCGAGGTGCCTTAGCGAAAGTGGTTCGCGGCTGCGGACCAAGAATTTTTGATTTCTGTGCTAGTAGACCACACCGGTCAGTCTCCTCGGGAAAGGACGTCTTCAGTGCTCGTTATAAGCCTAGGACTGTGCCCAAACCTAACCATGGGCTTAAAGGCAAAGTTCGGGCTCAGACCCACCTAAGAAGCCCTTACCATGGCTAGAAGTGCTGGGTACGCAAGTGCAAAGGTAGCGCCACCTTTCTACATCGAAACGCGTCACTAGGACCCTAGGCGCCATGGACTTCTAACAGACTCCACCAAACTTAACATGGTCCGCCCACCGTTCGATATCTTGTCTGCGTCGCCACGTTGATCTGCTATGCTCTCTCTTCTCGGACTTCTCTACCGCTCTCCGCGCTCACATTATCTCTCATCTCCCTGCCTGCCTTTTGAACTTCTCCGCAGCATAGAGCAAAATGCTCGTATTTCCTGTGTATTTCAGGATTTTCTTTCCTTTTTCTCCACTGGCGGTCCACCTCCCATCCCTACTTTCACATTTGAGTGGAATCACCTCATCAATTTAATCCTGATTCTTGCCTTTAAGCATAGGTCAGTGTGTAATAATAATAAGGCTAAGCTTGAATTCAAGCCTAAGCCTTAGGCTTCAGTCGTCGTGTAGCCCTGGTGACCTGACCTAGGAGGAAAGCTGAACGTCTCCCGGTATAAGACAGCGCTGAATATGTAGCTGATCAATAGCAGACGCGCGCCTGTCAGCAATGACCCAATCAACCAGCGGTGCGCTCGACCTCCAACTCGTTCGGCGCTTTGCCGGCCCTCCAACTCGCGTGTTTCTCTTCACTTCGCGTTGTTTCTATGCCTATGTTTATCACGTATTTCACTGTTGCAGAAGAAAGAACCCTCACAATAAGTGGCAGTAATATCCTCAAACAACAGTTGCACGTCTCGCAAACAGCTCGCGTCCGTTATAGAACAGCTTGGCTCCGCCCATCGCATTTTATTTCGCCAATTTTTCGACGTTTTTCGAAGAAGGAGCTGCTTTATTGCTCAGAGTTACTGAATTTCTTGCTAGCTGTGACTGGTTAGGATATTTTTCACTCATCCAATCCAATTAGATGATACTGTTGACTTCTAATTGAATTAATGCATGAATTTCTGTGACCACCCTGTGGGAAGAGATTGGAGTCTACTTTCCATGACGTTTATTTATTCCTAGAATCGTGCAGAATTGAATGAATGAATTAAGGTTTGCTGAAATCCGCAGTGGTAATAGTCGCCATGATACGACGGACATTGGAACTTATAAAGGTTGGTTTGTTTCAACATACTTCTTTGTATTCTTTGGTCAAATCTCGCAATAAATACCAGATTCGTATTTCGTACAATATTTAAATTACAACCTATCTTTAGGACGGCAAGACGTTACGAAATGGAGTGGAAGCTAACAGGCGGACATTTAATCTTTCTAGATATAGTGAAAAGCCGTAATAAGCATTAGGGCGGGCGAGGGGGAATCAGTACGTGAGCTCATTATTACGGTTGGGTAGCTTCAGGGAGGGTAACGGGATCCGGAGAGATAAGTGAGAATTTTTAGTGTTCTCTTTCTTGGCGTGTTTACCTTTGTTGGGGCTTAGTCTTAGTCTGGACCTACATCGGCCTTGTTTTTCGTTCACGGACTACTTTGACTCAGTTTTTAAACCGCTATGTCTCTTTCGGCGGAGTCCTCTCTCTAGCTTAGTCGTAGGTCATTCACCGTTCTGTAAAATCGTCTGGCTCTGCCATCGCCGGCAGGACCATTTGAGGAAAAATCAGTATGTTTCGTATCCTAGCCCCTCGACGCCAGACATGGGGCCTTGTAATCTCTATCTCCTTATTTAAGAGGTAAGCTTTACGAGAGTTTTTTCAGGTCCGCTAGCGGTGTTCAATTGTAGTTGTGACTTTGTAAGACATTCAGAAATGGGTCAAGGTATGAAGAATGTTGTTATCTGTAGTACGACCAGTTGTCTGGTGAATGGAGTATACTTTCCCAATTTCCAGGAAGTGCAGTCTGCTCCATCTACTTCGGATAGAGCCTTGTCGTTTGATTCCGGAAAGGAAATCGTGCAGTGCCAGCTCTGCAAGCGTTGGATGCAACCCGCGTCTTTGATGAAACACAGCACGTTGTATGTGTAGCGATGAAGAAGTCGAATATTTCATTGTGTGTCCTCTGTGTCCAACGAAGGTGCGATTCCAAGAAGCTCTTGTCAACCATTGTCGCGATGTCCACGAAGACGAAGAATGCATTGTTCAAACGGAAATATTCAAGAGTGTAAAGAGTATGAGGTGAGCTGCAGGTGGGATCAGTTTGGTTACCAGATTTTAAATATGCGTAGACGTTGTGAAAATACGATACTGTCGATATCTGAAATGGAGTCCGCCGGGAATCCTTGGACGCAGTATCACACTCGGGAGGCAAGTGATGGAGCAATGCGTCGCTCCGCCGGATGTTGACGGGCGGCGCACGAAGTTCTAGATTTTGCTCGGTACCAACTTACGTGCTCTTTACAGCATGCTCTGTCTAGCTCTTTTTTTGGTTCCGTTATCAGCGAGTTGAAATTATGTTCTTTAGCTCTTATACGGTTTTCAATAGATAATTCTTTTAGCAGGACTTATTTGATGGAGCTCCTTTGTGTAAAATTTTTCTCATCGCTGGGAGGTTTACCACAGAAAAATCAGATGTTTCATTCGGACTTGCTAAATTTCATAGACTAGGAAGTTCCAAAATCATTTTTCCATGCTTACTGATAATTGTTTTTTGGCTCCAGTCTCCGACTTTTAACCAATGCATTTATAAACAAATATTTGTCGATTGGCGCCTTGTTTGACGTATCTTTTACTTCGTTTGCATCCCCCCAGTTTTGTGCCGTAGAACTGTTGAATGCTTGTTTGTGGTATAGGCGAATTTCTACCGCTCAATTTTACGCGTTGTCATTAAGGACTGGAAGGGTCCAGTGACAAATAACTGGACTGGTGGCTACACGTTGGGCGGAGGACGGAATTGTGGCTGAAATTTGAGGCTCACTTACGGTGCAGCAAGGTACGAGGTGTTTTGTCTGCATCGTTGATGAGGGACGCATGTGGGATTAACTGTTTAGGTGGGAAACTTGATTTTGATCTTTTCTTGTTCAAACTATTTGCTGTAGCAGAATGGTTAATTATCTGGTGAAGTATTTGGAACGCAGTATTAGAGCTTCCACTGTTAGTCAGTGCCAAGAAATTGTCTTGCGGGGAACACAATACGGGATACTGTATCTTGATATTTGATGTGACCTTTCAATTGGTAATATACCAGATTTGTCAGGATTAGAGGACGATGATTATTCACTGCTTACAGAAGGGTTTCAATGGCGAATGTTAGCGTAGACGAGGGAGCCTTAAAATTAACTAGAGGATGTCAGTGCGCATGCCGAAGGAAGGAAAACCCAGGAATGGCCTGACCAGATCCCGAAAAGCGTCGAGCTGAAATGGAAAAGAGGTTTTAACATCCGGGGGCAGCTTTCTTTCAAAAAAACTTTCTTTTCAAAAATTCTATCGTTCCATGCCTTCCAAAATACGAGCCGATCGCAATACAAGTGAGGGGTGCTATTTCCCTGGTTCTAAGCCATTTTTCGCAACTCCGCCGTTGCCGGTACCAAGCCTGGATGAGAAAGGAGGAGAGTTGGCGCAAAGGGCTAGTAACCCTTCCGCCGTGAAAAATCCTTTGATGCTACAGAAACGACGAATACATGTCGTATCACTAGTATCCGTCAAAGGCTAAAACCCGACCTCCTCAATTCCAGCAATATTATATGTATTCGTCGTTTCTGTAGCATCAAGAATTTTTTACGGCGGAAGGGTTGCTAGCCCTTCGCGCCAACCCTCCTCCTTTCTCATCCGGGCTTGGTACCGGCAACGGCGGAGTTGAGAAAAATGGCTTAGAACCAGGGAAATAGCACCCCTCACTTGTATTTTGCGATCGGCTCGTATTTTGGAAGGCATGGAACGATAGAATTTTTTGAGAAGTGAGGAAAGTGCTGCGGATTTGAAAACCTCCTTTCTCATTGTCAGCTCGACGCTTTTTCGGGATCTTGGGGCGTGGAGTGTGTGTCACGTGTAGCACATTGACACCATCCCCTGCGTACTGTCGGAGATGGAGAGGAGGGGTCGTATATCTGAAATCGGCCCAAGCCACGGCTGACTTTGGCTGTGTGTTGCATGCATGAAAGTTATGTGACTGCGCACCATCCAGTGCTGATTGACATGAGTTGCCATTGTCTGTGTAAATTGTTTGTATGCCTATCACTCAAAGTCGCCAAATTCAGGAATATGTCTACGATGATGGTACCGTATTTGTGAAGTTCTGTGTGCGTCATATCAGTCATGATGTTAGCGCTGCTTCACTGCCTCTCACAAAGAAGGACAGGGATATAATTGCTAGCTATCTGAAGTTGAACGTCGACGAGGACAGCGTAAGGGACCTCATACGCGAAGATTACAATGACCCGAGCACTAGGCTTTATTGGATTCGACCTGCGGACATCAGAAGGGCTATGTCAAGTCTGGCATGGCAGAAACGCAAACAACGAGAAGCAGGCTCAACTACTTCAGAAAAGAGGTTCGTTTTGCAACTCATTAGGAAAAATTTGGTTTGGTTGTTAGCCTGATTAGTGTATAGAGAGTGGATTCCTTCTCAGTACTTCTTTTTTCAAGCTATTTTTCTTACTACGCCTACCATCATCGTAGTGCGGGCCATCGAGCACTGTGCCTCCAATCGACAATCTCGTTTAACACCGAGTCAATCATTTTCACTTCTTTCCATTAACTCGAAAGCTTGTTGACTCGACCCTTCGAGATTCTTCGCCACTACGCATTCAGACTATCATATTCGTATTGTTTAACTTTCTTCCAACCATTTCAAGTGGTGATTTTTTCTCTTGTCCATTCAAATCTATGGTAGAATTTTCTAAACGAAAGCGGCTAAGTTTCATACTGCTGCATCCGAAAATATCTTAAGGAACATTGAAGGAGCGCATGCGCGAGTATATTACTTTACTTAAGTTACTTGCGAAACTACGCTCAATCCTAATTCACTGGAATGCGGACCGCTTGCACCACGTAGGTAGGCTTATGACAAGTTATGCTATCAGAGGGCCTTATATTTTTTGAAACGGATTGGTTTTCAGTGCCGCTGATGATGCTGCTGAAAGATCTTCGTCGCCCTGCAGTATATATGACGACCCGTTTATTCCATCTGTAGGAGATTCGGAGGAGCCTTCAAGTTCTACTGCCTGTACTGCAGATAAACCATCTCCGTCATGCAATGTTTATGATGATCCGTTTATGCACCCCGTGCTGCGTGTAAGACTTGGGCGATGGTCCCAGATATCTCATGATGAGACGCGATACTCTTTTATTCGTCCTGTTAGTGCTCACTCGAGGACCGCACGATCGTTCTGCTGCCGATTCGGCAGAGGCCACGAGCTCCCATATCTGGAGGAACTGCTGACAAGCTGGCTCACCATACGTGATATTCCGTGAGGACCCGTCTATTTCCGGCTGAGCATAATGGAGGAAGCGTCTGGCTCGATGAATGGAGAATCGTTTCTATAACGAACAATGAGCTGAGAACGAATAATGTTCTCATCAACGGAGTCCGTGCCTCGTCAGTTCTGCCAGCGGAATCCGTCGTCCCAACCGAATCTCTACTTGGATGCCCATCTTGCGCGAAATTGAAGAAAAGGGTGAGTCCGTTTACTGTCTTTGTTTTTATTGAGTCCATTGAATCATGATTCGATCGTTTAAGGTGGCTGAGCTTCAAGTCACCGTGGATAACCTCAAGCAAAAATTGCCACGGGTAGAAGAGCCTGTGCTATTCGACAATATGGTCGTCAAAGAGGAGATAAGCTAGCGCCTCGAGACTTTAGGCGGATCAATTTTACGGTGAGATGCAGTTTTCAGATTGTGAGTTAGCTTCGGGGTGTGGGATTAGTCCTGGTTGTCCCATGTACCACTTGCAAATTTCTGTAATGGGAGGGGAAAGGGAGGGGGTGGGTGAAAATGGGTAGCCGAAGGACTACTCTTTTCCGCCATTTTCGGATGATCCCACGGAAAATTCGATGGCACACCAGACTATCATGAAACTGTTGTTGCTTGCCACACAGATGAGATTCCTGGGAGCTGAGGAATGATGCTACCTAAGTTTAGCGGCATGCTCGATTTCTTTACTCTCATATACACAGAAGCCTGCGCGCTGCCCATACCCTGTAAGTCCAGGGTTGAGGTCATGCAGTCAACTTGCGTATACCGTCTTCTAAAGGTTTTCCACGCTCTTCAATTCTACATGAGTGAGCACAATTCGAAAACAAAGTACCGCCGCCCAGTGTTACCGAAACATGACTATGGCCCGAAGTCGTTCCTGGCGAAAAGTCATTACTGGGTAAAGGGTAGATGTACTGGCTAGCGTTCACATTTAGTTGCAGGGTGAGAGGGATACTGCACAGTCATAGCCTGAAAAGCTGTCCTCTACTGACTTATGAGGGAAGCTTTTAGGTTGGTTCAAGCGAAGAAGTTACGGTCCATAAGCTCGTAGCAATGGTGAATTGCTTCACATCATGGCGTAGAGGATGACAGACGAGCTTCTCCTGCTTGTCGAGTAGCATTTTATGAATACGACACCTTGTTGTGACACTTCCACATGCGTTGTTTTTGTGAGACGTAAACTTTGCTAATGTGCCTGGACAGAGTGATTTTTTGTGGTCTCCCCGTATTCGTCAATTATACCCTTTGATTGGTATTTCAGAGCGCGACGTCGCTCCTTCTACGGTTAAAGTTTTTGTCGCCAGGGTCTTACAAAATGAGCATTTGGCGACTAATCTTGATACGTAGCGCACACCCATGACACGCAGCGTGGATTACGGCGTAGCGGCTAATTCAAATACGCGCGGGTTAGTTGAGCCGTGGAGCAGGCAAGTTCGTACAACTCGTCTGGCCCCGCCCCTTCCCTTTTCAAGGGGATTTTGTTTCAGGTTCATCGGCGGTTCTCTTTGCTTCTTTTTTATTTCTAGTCAATTTCGCATTGTCGCATCTACAACTTCATTACCATTTGCTGTGACCCCACAATCTCGATGGGGATGCTGCTTTGAGGTCACTTCCGGTCGACGGACTACTTGAACTCAGCCCTTTAAACCGCCTCTGCGCTCTCTCGCGGGTCCCTCTCCTCTCCAAGGCTTAGTCCTAGGGCATTCACCCGTTCTCTAATCGTCTGTGCTCTAGCCATCGCGGCAGGACCATTGAGGAAAAATCAAGTAGTCCGTAAACCCTTCCCCCTCCCATTCGAGAACCTTCACTTCCTCATCCTCATACCCTTTCTGTATTACGGGTGCCCAGGCAGCATTAATTAGCGACAAGAATAGATAACCTTCTGAACATGAGTTGTGCCAGGGATTCCATAATTTTACTTATTCCACGTTTTCAGAAACCTATTTTTGGATGCGTTCGACGCGATCCCTCTGCTCACAATACTGCTTCAACGGCTTCATACTGTGTACATAAACAAATATAAAAATGATACAATAAAGCTTTTCATTGCTCCATATTGAAACACGATAACTGTAAGGAATATGACTTCTGATCTCCTGGTTGAAACTGTTGTTGCTATTGTATGAATGATCATAACCAACTAACAGTTCTACATGATTTCCGATCCTTTGGCGTGTGTTCCCGCCTCCCACTCGATACTCGGTATTTCCAAGGTGCACTCGCTTTTACTCATTTGTAGCACTGCAGATGGTGACATTTTTACAGTTTCTGCTCGGCGAGATGTGCCGTGATTGCAGATCAGTAACACACTTCACATCAGACTCCTTCAGTATCGTATCATACTCGATATCGGATTTTAGAGGCTCTCGGCCAAGTGAGCTACAGAGTCTGCGATTACGGCACATTTCAATGCAGAAACAGGAATGTCAAATATTCACCTACTGTTGACTTTCACAGCAACTCTTAAGTTACAGTTACATGAACTCGCGAAAAATGTGCGGGGAAAAGTTCAGACTCTACGGAATCCATCTGTCAAGCTTGCTAAAAATTTTTTTGGTCATTCCAATAGGGGAATTTGAAAGACAGGAACACACGGACTTCCTCTCCCTTACTGGAACAGACACAAACCTTCACTTGCTAAGTGTGTAGCTTTGGTGGAGCTTTCGCAACAACGTTCTTGATTTGACCACCTCCTTCTTTCTCAATGAAGACAAGGGTACAAGAGCTTCCAGCACCTCGGCGGCATTCAGTAAAGTTTGTTGTGTCCGTGCTAGTTTCATCCGCAGTCAATCGCGTAGAAACGGATCGAAGCTCAACCTACTCAGTCATCAACCATGAAAAGCTTACGTTAGATTAAATCTTGAACTGCCCAGCCCGTAGAAACCGGGATGGCCGACTTTCAGGCCATCGTTGTCTTCGCATTTCAAAATGAGCATGTATCATGTTGAATCAGAATTACCATGGGCGCCAGCTGATTTCCGATAGATTCTTCACAATCAGCTGGGCAGGATAGCGAATGATTGAAATGTGTGGTACGTATTGCGGCGTAAACATAATTTAGTCGTAGATGATAATGAACTTGATGGTCCCGGTGAAATACGCCGCCTAATGCGCTGTCAGCAATCGGTTGTTCTCAGACTGAATTTCTCTGGTGCAGCTTCTTCACGCATGATTTGAGCCATGGGGCTAATCCTCGCGAAGCTCTGGCGATTGTGGTGGTCCGGTAAAGGTGGGTAAAGGTCCTTTCTGAGTTATTTATCTTTTATGCTTTTGGCCCTACCTGAGTGAAATGTGGTTCTTCCATTATTGCTTGGATTTTCTTTCATTGCTTGTCATCATTGTTAATGCTCAAGAACTTGATGCGAGGCATCGTTATCAAGTGCAAATGGCTTCAATTTTCATAATTTCAACGTCTGCTACTTTTGATCAGAATTTTAAGTGAGCGCTGCAATGAATATGCATATATGTGTCTAATTGGATTAATGCTGAATAATGTGAGCTAGAGACGAGTTCCTTGAGTTGTAACGTTCGGTGAGTAGAGCACATAAGTCATCATCGTAGGGTTGGGACACGCGTGGGAAGACAAACTATTTTTATACTCCAACATGGTGCGAGTCTTGCTTTGGATTTTCCTTTTCGGGAGAGGGACTTTAGTCAAAAATGACCTCTTAATCACTACCTCGCACCTGCCACCTTATGCCTCCTAGCGATCGCCTGCGGAGTGACCTCACTTGATTGGCTGTGCTGTCTGCTGACCTCGTACAGACATACTAAGTTAAGAAACCGTAGACACCAAAATCGTTCTCTCACAAAATGTAAGAGTTTATGTTAGGTTGTTCACTCAATTTTAGCCATTTTTCTCGGTCAGGAAATGTTTATTGTAGAGAAGTGATACAGGTTAATATCAAAGAAAATTCCCACTATTATTTCAGCACCTCTCCTATTTTTTTACCAATTGGTGATTCTGACCGAGGGTACGATTTTAATTTCGAATGTCAATTTACAGGCTCGCTGTTGCACATATTGAACAATACAAAATCTCCTGTCAGCCAAGTTGTGCTTTGCCAACCTGATGAATGGTAATTACAAAACCCTATGTCCTCGATTGCACGAGAGTTTCGTCGAGGGTTTTTCGAAATTTGGCTCTGTTCCAAGTAGAGCCCCAGATAGTGATTCTACATATCCGTGCGGCAGCCCTTTTTCCTCTTTTTTTGAATATTTCCATTTTAAAGAGCGACTTGAGGAGCTTCGAATTCGCTTCAGCCAAGCATCGCAATGCTTGAAAAAAAAATTACTAGCACGGAATTTTGCGGCTGGCCGGGATGTTTTTTTTGCCAAGACATTAGAATCACCTGTTGAACTGACCAGAACTAGGAGCCCCAGCTAAAAAATGTTGGAGAGTGGCGATGCCCTCACGGACTCAAAAATGACAGTGAAAAAGGTGAAGTCAAGTTAATACCATACGCAACTGAAACACAAGCCAGGAATATGTCAATGAAAAGTGTTTGAGTATTTGATTTGAACCTATAGCAAACAAAAAAATCATTGCTGTTGGCTTTTTTGTTCACTCCCAAGATAATGTTCTGTTCCACCAAACTACTGTTGCTACTGTTTTTGTATTTCCTGTTTTGTTTCTTTACTGTTTTTAATCCCCTTTTTTAACACGTGTCTATGTGATAAAGTTCATTATTCATATGATCGATACTGAGTCTGAGAGGAAGAGGTCAGCAGACGACTCAGTGCAATTAACAAGGTCTTCCCACAGGCAGGGGAGTGTAGGGGCGAGGTGGTATCCCCATAATTGCACTTTAGACTAAAGGTGCACACCCCTTTTCCATTTCTTCTCAGCTCAGACATTCTATTTCCTCCTTTTCAAACACTCCCAACTTTTCCCATTGTGAATGCTGAAAAGGTGGAAACGTTTTTTCAGAAGGAGAGAGCTTTGAGGGAAAGGAAATTGTCTCGGTTGTTCTCTACCCCTCAATCCCTCTCTCTCCCTT